AAACAGCCCTATTACATTGCACTAACCAATGGCTACTAAATATGGATAAAGGTCTAATCAACGGGGTTCTATTCTTAGACTTTAAAAAAGCATTTGACACGGTCGACCATTGTATTCTTCTTATGTTCGAGGCAGTTCGGTAAATCGTTTATTTATATAGAAAATAGTAATGGCCCCAGATTAGACCCTTGTGGAACCCCACATTGGATTGCTTTTTGTTTCGTTCCCCGCAGGAACAAAACGGTACTGTATTTGGTTTCGAGCAATATCACAGGAAAGTGACGTCAGAGATCAAAGTTATCCAATCCTTTGCCAGTATTCTTGCTGAAACGTCAATTACATTTAGAATCGTCCAATGAGATGACCGCTCCTAGCATAAGAAGTTTTTTGGAGTCGTGGCGTATAATCGGAAATTTTAGTTAATTATATGTCAACCTATGAGAACATGGTAACTTAACCTGAAGTTCAGGCCCTAATTTTAATTTGAAATAGGGCCTGACACAAAACCTGTCTAGACCGTGGGACGCCCACATGTTATTTTTAGACACAGCATGCAATATGATTGACAAGTGTTGTAGATTTCGCTACACAAAAAAATTATATTCTCATGAACATGTCCGCAGAGTGTGCATTTTGCTTTTTAATTAAACTTAAAAATTCAAGGTACTTTTATATAATTAAGAGTCAGTTTCTCTATTTAACCGAACAACAAACAAAGGATCTTGTCTAAAAGTACACACGAGTGACCACGAGTGACCACGAATGACCACGAGTGACCACGAATGACCACGAGTGACCATGAATGACCACGAGTGACCACGAGTGACCACGAATGACCACGAGTGACCACGAGTGTTAAAGATCATGAAATAATAATTAAAACAATTTTAAGGTGGCTCCCTAAGGTTTTTGCATTATACTGCACTATAGTATCCAGAAAAACGCACGTTTCTTCACTTTACATAACATGAAGACGAAATTTATTGGACACATTCACAATGCTCTCCTGAACATTAATTGCAATGTGCTACTTTTGCGCTGAAAGTCCGTTACCATGGCAACAGCGTGCTTAGGATAAGGCTCAAAATTTCTCTTTTTTCGGCCATTTTAAAAATCCCTTCGGGAATTTTTTTTTAGTTTTTCGACTATTGTACACGTCAGTCTACCGGAACATGGCAAAGCATCTGAAGTGTGTGGGGGGGGGAGGGGTGTTGCTGGAGGATTTTACCTGAAATTTGAATTTTTAATAAATATTTACCTAAAGTGTGATAATTATAATAAAGATTCTTGTGATTGACTTGCATTGTCATACTAAGTTTCGGGATAAAACGGGGGTTTGGGGGTCCTCCCCCAGAAAATTGTTCCATTTTTGAAGCTCTAGGACTGCAATTCTGGCGTTTTCTAAAGCAAATTCGCAAACAAATCGGATGTAAATTGACTGTATATTTTACAAAAATGGTTATCATTTTACACAAATAATTACTTTATTACGCAAATTTTACCTGTTGGGGGAGGAGGAGGGGGGGATGGGTACACGTCACATCTCGCAAAATATGCCAAAATTAAACCTAAATTTCACCCTTTTCCTTTGGTAAATTGTTTTAAAACTTTGCAAATTTCTTAATATCGGCTAAACAAGCTCAATATCCTTTTTTCTTAAAATTTTATTGAAGGGAATAATCTAAGTAACGTTCCATAGAATTTTTTAAAATTGAAGAAAAAAATCATTATACGAGAAAGATCTTTTATGCAAATTTTTAAATTCTTAAAACGGCCGGAAAAAGACAAATTTTGAGCTTAATTATCCTAAGCGCGCCGTCACCATGGTAACGGACTTTCAGCGCAAAAGTAGTAAATTGCAATGCTCAGGAGAGCATTGTCAATGTGTCCAATAAATTTCGTCTTCGTGTCATATAAAGTGAAGAAACACGAGTTTTCTGGATACAAAAGTGTAGTATAATGCAAAAACCCTATGGAGCCACCTTAAAATAGTTTTTTATTATTATTTTATGACTTTTAAACACAGAAATCACTCGTGGTCACTCGTGGTCATTCGTGGTCACTCGTGGTCACTCGTGGTCACTCGTGGTCACTCGTGGTCACTCGTGGTCACTCGTGGTCATTCGTGGTCACTCGTGGTCACCCGTGTGTACTTTTAGACAAGACCCAAACAAAGATTCAATTAGTCAGTTCTGTGTACGGCTTGACTGCCAAGCTTTCTCAAGGTCTCAACGGTCTTGTCTAAAAGTACACACGAGTGACCACGAGTGACCACGAATGACCACGAGTGACCACGAGTGACCACGAGTGACCACGAGTGACCACGAGTGACCACGAATGACCACGAGTGATTTCTGTGTTTAAAAGTCATAAAATAATAAAAAAAAAGGTGGCTCCATAGGGTTTTTGCATTATACTACACTTTTGTATCGAGAAAACTCCTGTTTCTACTTTCTTCACTGTACATGACAGTATGACACGAAGACGAAATTTATTGGACACATTAACAATGCTCTCCTGAACATTGCAATTAACTACTTTTGCGCTGAAAGTCCGTTACCATGGTGACAGCGTGCTTTGGATAATTAAGCTCACATTTTGTCTTTTTCCGGCCGTTTTAAAAATTTTAAAATTTGCACAAAAGATCAGTTCTCGTATAATGATTTTTTTCTTCAATTTAAAAAAAAAATATGGAACGTTTCTTAGATTATTCCCTTCAATAAAATTTTAAGAAAAAAGGATATTTAGCTTGTTTAGCCGATATTAAGAAATGTGCAAAGTTTTAAAACAATTTACCAAAGGAAAAGGGTGAAAATTAGGGTGAAATTTAGGTAAAATTTGCAATTCAATTTACATCCAATTTGTTTGCGAATTTGCTTTAGAAAACGCCAGAATTGCAGTCCTAGAGCTTCAAAAATGGAACATTTTTTTTTGGGGGGGGGGGGAGGATCCCCAAACCCCGTTTTCTCCCGAAACTTAGTATGACAGTGCAAGTCATTATCACAAGAAGCTTTATTATAATTATTACACTTTAGGTAAATATTTATTAATTAAAAATTCAAATTTCAGGTAAAATCCTCTATCACCCCCCCCCCCCCTAACTCCCTAACTTCAGATGCTTTGCTATGTTCCTGTAGACTGACGTGTACAATAGTCGAAACACTAAAAAAATTTCCCGAAAGTATTTTTAAAATGGCCGAAAAAAGACAAATTTTGAGCCTTATCCTAAGCACGCTGTTGCCATGGTAACAGACTTTCTGCGCAAAAGTAGCACATTGCAATATTCAGGAGAGCATTGTCAATGTGTCCAATAAATTTCGTCCTCGTGTCATGTAAAGTGAAGGAGCAGGAGTTTTCTGGATACAAAAGTGTAATATAATGCAAAACCCCTATGGAGCCACCTTAAAATAGTTTTTTATGTACTATTAAAAAACGAGCAGGAGTGTTTTATTAGGTTTAAAGCCACGAGCGCGCAGCGCGAGTGGCTTTAGACCTAATAAAACACGACCCGCGAGTTTTTTAAATGACTTCAAAAACGTATGCATAATAAGTCAAATCTTTATATAAAAATCTTTATATAAAAACCTTTATATAAAAATCTTTATATAAAAATCTTTATATAGTTTGCATAACAATAGTCTTTTGTTAAAGTGTTCTTTAGCTGGTATAAAGACGTATGCACGTGACTAATTTCTTACTCAAGATTGGATAATTGCTTCATGAATTATTAATGAGTTTTTGAATATTATTTTATGACTTTTAAACACAGAAATCACTCGTGGTCATTCGTGGTCATTCGTGGTCACTCGTGTGTACTTTTAGACAAGATCCATTCTTTGTCTACAGGCACGATGATTTATATTTGAAGTATTCAAGCGCCAACAGCGGTATATATTTATTATATAGTTTTCTTTGTTTTTCTTCATTTTAAATACTACTACTGTATTTCTGGACCGCTCGGCCCCTCCACGTAAAGAAAATTTATACTAATATGTGCAAAAAATTACCAGAACCCGCCCGCCTCACAAAATGAACCAATTTCATTGCTCGACATATACAAGTGATCTATGGTCACAACCGCAAATTACAGACGTCTGGTATATTTCTATAATTATATTGGAACGAAACATTATTTCTGTTTTAAAGAAATATTTTCTTGTTGTTCTGATTTTACGTTATTAAGTACGCAGGCTTGTTTCCTGTTGTTCAAGTATGACTTAAAAAGTCTTTGGGCTGTCCTTTAATTCCAGATTGTTCCAGTTTCCGTACTCAAGCATCAATGTTTGCCGACGACACAAACTTGACGTGTTCCGGACATAGAAATATTAATAGATATCTATTATTTCTATGGTTCCGGAGTGTCAACTGCAGAAATTGAATGCAAACTAAACTCCGACTTGCGTAATTTAAGTAAATGGCTCGAGGCCAACAAATTAACATTAAATACTAAGAAAACTAAATCTATTCTGATAACCTCAAAACGAAAATTAAACCAAATCCCTGAAAACCTCCAAATACTAATTAATGATACACTTATTGAACAAGTCAAACAGAAGGAGGTCTTGGGGATTATAACTGACGAAGAACTAAAATGATCGAAGGAACACGTTAATGCTCAATGCAAGAAACTTTCGAGTGCTGTGGCTAGAGCTAAACCTTTTGTTTCGCAAAATGAATTAGTTCGTATGTACAACTCTCTAGTAGTCCCTTACTTTGCAAATTGTTCGACTGTCTCGGGAATGACGGAAATCGAACGAATCTTGAAAAACTGTACAAGATGCAAAAAAGGGTCGCTGGTATCATAACTAGTTCGCTCGTGTCATAACTAGTTCGCCAGAACAATACTTTAGATCAGATAATGACTAATATGTCGCCACTGTTTCAAGAAGTGCAACATCTTCCTCCCGTAGGTCGATCGGATCACCAATGCCTCCTTTTGAATCCAAAACATCGGACGAGTACACGCCCAATAACTAAAACATTTCGATCGATGAAACGTTCAAACTTAATAGCTCTCGAGCTAAGACTAAGCAGAACTATTTCGGATGCAGTATACGAAGCAGAAAACGTAGATGACAAAGTCTCAATTTTCAATGGAGTTATTAGTCAAGCTCTAGACGGATGTATGCCTCTGAAATCCATACGATTACATCCCACGGATAAACCTTGGATGACTCCAAACATTAACGCAAAGATTAAGCTTAGACAACGGGCTTTTACTCGTGGCAGCATGTCCCAGTATAATTTTCTAAGTGCACAAGTTGAAGATATGATTAGAAAAGCCAAATCAAATTACTATCAAAATAAGGCTAAAACATTCCGCACATCTGACCCTGCGAAATGGTACGAAGCAATTTATAATCTGTCCGGAGTAAGTAGTCAGCATGAAGGCCTAATAGTAAACTCCATGGGTAGTGAGGCCGCTTTAGCAGAAAAGCTTCAAATATCCTTTACTGAACCATGGAAAGACCTAATTACAACAAATATTCCCCAACTAGATGAAGTTGAGTCACTTCTCAAAGACTATCCTCCCCCTCTACCTAGTATTGGCCAGATTAAGTGCAACGGGAGCCGATGGTGTTCCAGCATGGTTACTTAAACGATTCTCTAGCGTTCTAGCGCCGACTGTTCATGACATCATTACGGCTAGCATTAAACAGTGTAAGTATCCAAGTCATTACAAACATGGCCTGGTCACACCTGTGCCTAAAGCATACCCACCAACTGACATTAGTGACGATTTTAGACAAATCTCTGTTTTGCCACATATTGGGAAAATTCTAGAGAGAGTACAACTACAACTCAATCAAAATGACATCACATTACGTTCCAGTCAACATGGTTTTACTAGTGGCCGCTCTACTACATCGGCTCTGATATCCATCACACAGCCATGGTTTAATGCTACTGACAATACCTGCCGTGACAAAGCAGGCATCCATGCCCTCTTTATCGACTTTAAAAAAGCCTTTGATCTAGTTGATCATAGGATCCTGTTGAATAAACTTGCATTGATGAATGTTAATAAAAGCTTCTGGTTGTGGGTCAAAAGCTTCTTATCTGGTAGAACTCAGCAGGTCAAGATAAATCAAACACTTTCATCGATCGAGGGTTGCCCAGCTGGAGTACCGCAAGGATATGCTCTTTCGCCGACTCTATTTAATATCCACATTGACGACTTAGATACGAGTGTTCCTGAAGATCTTGAGGTGAGCACATATAAATATGCCGATGACTGCACACAAAGCGAATGCATCATGAAGGGAGAGTGTAGCAACATGCAGAAAGTCTTAGACTCCGTTCAGAATTGGTCAAA